GACTTTACTTAGCTTACAGTTCCAAAGGGGCAAGAATCCATCATTGTGGGAGGCATGGTGGCAGAGCAGAGAGCTGAGTGCTCACATCTTCAGGAAGCAGAGAGAGAGAGAGACTGGACATCAGGCAAGGCTTAATAACTCTCTAAGCCTGCCCCCAGTGTCATGTAGAGTGCTTCCTACCCGTGGATAAATTCATAAGTTCAAAGACCAGCAACCAAAAACATTTCCTAATTTTTCATATCTTTCAGGACCATTACTATGATTTGTCTGTTGGTTTCTTTGTGTTTATCTTATTTGAAGTTCATTCAATAAGCAACTGAAGTCATTGAATTTGAATAAAGAGTTTTACGCCTTTGGGACCATTTCCAGGGACACTTAAGTACTTGTTTCACAGTTTCTTATAGCTTGGGAAAGATTTCTAAAGTATAGATCTTTTGGGGCTGGAGAGATGGCTCAGCAGTTAAGAGCACTAGCTGTTCTTGCAGAGGACCCAGGTTTGGTTCCCAGCACCTGCATGATAGCTAACAAATATCTATAACTTTGATGCCCTCTTCTGACTTCCATGGGCATTACCCAACATGGGTGCACTTACATACATGCAGGCAATATATTTATACACATAAAATAATAAATAAAATATTTTTTCAAAAAGAATAGATCTGTGGAGAGCTACATATCTTCATGTTCAGACTCATACCAAGAGTCATATACATGCAGTCCTCTAAATGTGTACCTTCATGGATGTAACCAAATACAGATTGAAAAATTTGAACAAAAAACCACATCTGTGATGAACAGGGATATGAGTTGCTTTTTATCATTACTCTCAAACTAATACAGTATAACACAGATTTTATATTTCATTAGGTATTACAAGTAATCTAGAGGTTATATCAAGTTATTTAAAGGACACATTAAAGTTATCTAGAAATGTTACATCATTTTATATGACATGTGAGCATCCACAGATGGTAATAACCTTAAGGAATGGGGATGTGTTCTAGAATAAACTCCATGAATACTGTAGGCTGAATGACCCATGATACATATATGTAATGATCACAGTGTAGTGACAATCTGTACTCAATAAAACTGCACTCAATGTCTAGTAACCTGTGAATCAGCACTTCATTAGCTGTGTCCTTTGGGGCTTTGAAACTGTTAAAAATACGGGATGTTTCATGATGGTTATTGTACTTTTTATTCTAAAATTTCCTTTTGTTCTTTTTATGAGCTATTTATTTGTACAGACTTTCTATTTCATCCCTGAAGCTTTCGACTACAATTCCAAATATGCTAGAAACAAAATAGCTTTAGTAATAAAGTAGAACGTTTCAGAAATATTTGTCAGAGAATTCTGAAAGTTCTGTCATTTCATATCATGCCCTTTCATTTTCTTGAGACAGGGTCTCTCCATGTAGCCCTGACTATCCTGGGACTCACTTTGTAGACCAGGCTGGCCTTGAACTCAGAGATATCTGCTAGCTTCTGTTTCCTGAGTGCCAGGATTAAAAGTCTGTGCCCCACACTCAGCCCCCTCCCATTTTTTCCGTGATGAATAAGTTCCAAATCCCACAGTGTATGACTGAAACTCTGAACAGTACTGAATCTTATATAAGCCATGTTCTATACACACATAGCTATGCTAACATATAATTTGTAAATTGGGCATAGTAAGGAATTTAAAATAATAAAAATTGTAGGAATATAGTATAATAAAATTTATGTGATCATGATCACTCAGCATGTAATTTCTTTTCTTATATTGAGAACTTTCACTGAAAGAAAGCACTTTGTAGCTTCCCTTTGGCATATCCAAATTGTTACTAGCATGGTTCTCACATTTATTTTTCTGTGGTGCTAGTAATCAAATCCAGGGCCTTACACATGCTAGACAAGTGATTTCCCACAGTGTTATTCCTCAAGACCTTATTCTTACATTTTTGGAGTCATTGTTAAATAAAATCAGCTTATGTGAACACAAACACTGTAATACGGCAACAGTAAAGTTGATAACAGAGAGATCTTCTAAATGACCGTGGGGGGTGGATAGAATATATAACATAAATTCACTGGATGGAGACATAATTCACATTTTAGACAGGATAGAGTGGGTTCACACTACTCAAAACACTGAACAGTTTAACACTTATGAACAATTTGTTTCTGGAATTTCCCATTTAATGTTTTTGACTTGTAGTTGGCCAAGATAACTGAAACCATGGAATACAAAACTTTAGGTATGGGAGGTTACCATCAATTTTTAAAAATTCAGTTTGTTGTATTCTTGGCTGTTGGTAGGATGAGTGACTTTTTTGTTGTTGAAATGTAGACATTTTAGTATTATGATCTGAGACTCTGGATCTTACTTAAATCTTCTGTTTAGCTAGCTTCTTCTGACACTGCTCTGTTGGAGGGAGGTTGGAAATGGTTTAATCACTGCTACATACAGAAAGCCAAGTTTCCCTATAGGTCTCCAGTGATTCTGGAATAGAGTGTTCTTTGCACTTCTAGATGAGTTGGGGATTATGGATTTTGATGTGTCCTCCCATGACATTGTAGATGGCCTTTTAAAAACTCATTTGGTGAGAGGTTTTGGATCTGTCCTAAACCTCCTCTGACATCACTCCAGCAGAGAGGGGATGAGGCAGTAGGTTATTGCATGATACAATGACTGTCTAGTCTACCCACATGATTTCTAGAACATTAAAGATGAAAGGAATGAAAACCTTAGCTTCATGTTTGGCCTTCTCTGGTGTTCCATGGCAGAGGTGCTGGAGTGCTTTGACTTGCAAGGGTTTCCACAAAAGGTTCTCCACAAAAACTTCAAAGGTTCTTTTTTTGCTGTGTTTTTTACCTGGATTAAATAATTAAATAAAAGGTTTTTGCCTTCATAGGCTCCCCTTTCTTGGTCCTTTGTCTATAGAAAGTATGCCTTATTTTAGCTTTTTCTCATCATACCCAATGATGTTCATGGATTACTGGCTTATTCAGCTTTAAGTCTGGAATATATAAGGCAAAAAGAAAACCCAGGGAATCCCTCCCTAACTCATTCTTCATAAAATTCATAACATATCAAAATACTTTAAGCATTCAAATGTTAATAGTGTTGCCTAAATATACTGATAGTTAGAGAGGTTCCACGCTCTGGGAGCTGGAGAGATGGCTCAGTGCTTAAGAGCACTTGCTGCTCTTTAAAATATTTTGTTTGTTATTTTTGTTAATTTATGTGTGTGGTGTATTGCCTGCATGCATTTGGGTGCACCTGTGTCATGCAATGGCCGGAGGAGGTCAGAAGAGAGCATGGAAATTCCCTGGACCTGGAGTTATAAATGGTTGTGGGCCACCATGTGGGTCATTGGATTTAAACCCAGGTCTTCTGCAAGAGCAGTCAGTGCTCTTAACCATTAAGTCATCTCTCTATCCCCACTTACTGCTCTTTTAAAGGAGTTAGGTTGGTTCCTAGCACCCACATGACAGCTAGCAACTATTGGTAACCCCAGTTCCAGGTAATCTGGCGCCCTCTTCTGGCTTCTGAGGGCAGTGCACACAGGTTGTGTACTTACATATATGCATGCAAAACACTCATACACATACAATAAAAATGAATAAAATATTTTTAAAAGAAGGATTCCAAGCTCTGAATTTGCTTCATTTTTAGACTAAGAAGATAATTAAGTATCTTATATTTCTGTACCTTGTGTAATACAGCACTTAACTATTAAAATGTATAAATTGATATTTTATTCTAAATTTTATTTATTTTTATTTTATGTGTATAAGTGTATTGCCTAGATGTATGTAAGTTCACCCATGCCTGTGGAGGACAGAAGAGTGTGTCGGATCCCCTAGAACTGAAGTTACAGATGATTGTTAGCTACCATGTGGGTTCTGGGATTCAAACTCAGGTCCTCTGCAAGAGCAGCTAGTGCTCTTAATTGCCAAGTCATCTCTCTAGCCCTAAACTGATATTTTAAGAGTAAAAGTTTCTTGTTTCACTTTTATTTTATAAAAGCCATGTCTCCAGGCTCTCACTTTTATCTTAATTATCAAACAATGACTTATGTTTTCTGATAATGGAGGTGTAATGAATTAAATAATCCTTATTCATATTAGTTTCTTCAAATATTTTTAGTATTTAAAGTAGAAACATTAAGCATATTGTTTTAATAGATTTAGTCAAATTTTGATCCAACTATGGAATTCCAACTCTGAATTGGACTGAATTGGAGGAGAAGTTTATTTTTCTAAAAACGAAAGATTTGTATTGCATTTGCACTTTTCATTTTGATTGTGGGCTATTATGGGCATCTCAGTAAGTATGCTTGATAATGATGAAATTTCCTTATTTTGGTTGAAATATGTTTGATATTAATGAAGAAAAAGATATGGCTAAAAATTTAATGTAGGAATAAAGATACAATGGACACACACACACACACACACACACACAAAGCAGCAAAGGGAAATCCCCAGGTATGTTCATCTGAACATTTAAAATAAAGTTATTCATACAACGTTGAATAAATGCTAAGAATTTTCAGAAAATATTCTAAAAATGTCATAAATATGTACTTGGGAACCATGTATTTGTAAATCTACATATAAGTAGCCATGCAAAAATAATGCCTTAAACTGTCTTAGTGGTCAAAATGACTTTATGTTAAAACTTCAGCATAGAAGTATTAATATTTAATAAAAATATGTAAGCCAACAAATCATTTTAAATACAATGATATGAGAGGTGTTTAAACATATCCTCGGTCTTCTCAAATTCATTTGTAACGTCTTTGCGATAACAGCTGAGGGAAAAAAATCTAATCACATACTCAAAAATAATATTCAAACTGTCTTTGATCTTTAAAAGACATAAATTTTAAAATGCATCGAGTAAATTGTCTAATATAGAAACTAATTTGAAAGAGCAACGAATGGATGTAAAATCCACTTTAGCCACATGATGTCGCTGTATACCACAAAGTCTCTTGTGTGGGGACGAGGGCCTGATCAATACAAACTAAGGGAGGAAGCTTCATTTCGTCATCAGCCTAGGAAAGACCAAAACAGTAAGGAGAAATATGAAGTTAAGAAATAGGATCTTGGACTGACAGCGGTACGAAAAGTGTAGTGCTTTTGCGATGCTGTTTTCCAGACCCAGAGGCCTGAGAACCTGGCGCCCGGTGCTGCTCTCAGTTTTCCTCCTGGCGGTCTGGCAGGCAGGGAGCGGCCAGCTGCACTACTCCATCCCGGAGGAAGCCAAGCACGGCACCTTCGTGGGCCGCATCGCGCAGGACCTGGGGCTGGAGCTGGCCGAGCTGGTGCCCCGTCTGTTCAGGGTGGTGCCCAAGGGCCGCGGGGACCTTCTGGAGGTAAATCTGCAGAATGGCATTTTGTTTGTGAATTCTCGGATCGACCGGGAGGCGCTGTGCGGGCGGAGCGCGGAGTGTAGCATCCACCTGGAGGTGATCGTGGACAGGCCGCTGCAGGTTTTCCACGTGGAGGTGGAGGTGAGGGACATTAACGATAATCCACCGGTCTTCAAAGGCAGAGAACAGCAGGTATTTATTCCTGAAAATAGACAATTAGATTCGCGTTTTCCAATAGAGGGAGCTGTGGACGCAGACATTGGTTCGAATGCTCTCCTAACTTACACTCTGAGCCCCAGTGATTACTTTTCTTTGAAAGTAGAGGCAAGTGACGAACTCAGTAAATCTCTTTTACTTGAATTGAGAAAATCTTTAGATAGAGAAGAAACACCAGAACTCCATTTGTTATTGACAGCCACTGACGGAGGCAAACCAGAGCTGGAGGGCACAGTTCAGCTTCTGATTACTGTGCTCGATGTTAATGATAACCCCCCAATGTTTGACCAGGCCATCTACAGAGCTCACCTAGTAGAGACGACAGCAAATGGAACTTTAGTGACTACGTTAAATGCCTCTGACACTGATGAAGGTGTAAATGGTGAAGTCGTCTTTTCCTTTGGCAGTGAGGTTTCTCTTAACATTCAAGAAAAATTCAAAATAGATTCTGTGTTAGGAGAAATTAGAGTAATTGGTGACCTGGATTATGAAGAAACAAAATCCTATGAAATCCAAGTAAAGGCGGTTGATAAAGGGACTCCTCCGATGTCAAATCACTGCAAGGTTTTGGTGAAAGTGCTGGATATAAATGATAATGCTCCGGAACTGGCGATCACTTCGCTGTCTTTGCCCATCAGAGAGGACGCTCCACTTAGCACCATCATCGCCCTCATCTCGGTGTCGGATATCGACTCAGGTGTCAACGGACAGGTGGCCTGCTCCCTGACGCCCCACGTCCCCTTCAAGCTGGTGTCCGCCTTCAAGAATTACTATTCGCTAGTGCTGGACAGCGCCCTGGACCGCGAGACCAAAGCTGACTATAAGGTGGTGGTGACTGCGAGGGACGGAGGCTCGCCTTCGCTGTGGGCCTCGGCCAGCGTGTCCGTGGAGGTGGCTGACGTGAACGACAACGCGCCTGCGTTCGCGCAGCCCGAATACACGGTGTTCGTGAAGGAGAACAACCCGCCGGGCGCCCACATCTTCACGGTGTCGGCGGTGGACGCGGACGCGCAGGAGAACGCGCTGGTGTCCTACTCGCTGGTGGAGCGGCGGGTGGGCGAGCGCGCGCTGTCGAGCTACGTGTCTGTGCACGCGGAGAGCGGCAAGGTGTATGCGCTGCAGCCTCTGGACCATGAGGAGCTGGAGCTGCTGCAGTTCCAGGTGAGCGCGCGGGATGCTGGTGTGCCTGCCCTGGGCAGCAATGTGACTCTGCAGGTGTTCGTGCTGGATGAGAACGACAACGCGCCCACACTGCTGGGGCCTCTCGAGGACACCTCGGCGAGCGAGATGGTGTCCAGGACAGTGGGTGCCGGCCACATGGTGGCGAAAGTGCGTGCGGTAGACGCAGACTCTGGCTACAATGCATGGTTATCATATGAGCTGCAACGTGCAGCAGGTGGCACACGCATCCCGTTCCGCGTGGGACTGTACACAGGCGAGATCCGCACGACACATGCCCTAGACGATGTGGATGCACCTCGACTGCGCCTGTTAGTGCTGGTGAAGGACCACGGAGAGCCAGTGCTGACCGCCACCGCCACCGTGCTTGTGTCTCTGGTGGAGAACGGCCAGATTCCAAAAGCCTCTTCTCCCGCGTTAAAGGCTGCAGTGGGCCCTGAGGCGTCGCTGGTGGATGTCAATGTGTACCTGATCATCGCCATCTGCGTGGTGTCCAGCCTGCTGTTGCTCACGCTGCTGCTCCACACCGCGCTGCGCTGCTCCATTGCGCCCACCGAGGGCGCATGCGCGCCTGGGAAGCGGGTGCTGGTGTGCTCCAGTGCAGTGGGGAGCTGGTCCAACTCCCAGCAGAGGCGGCAGAGGGTGTACTCTGAGGAGGGCCCGCCCAAGACCGACCTCATGGCCTTCAGCCCAGGCCTATCTCCAGGTTTGAACACATTAGAAAGAAATGAACATTCAGAAATTAATTCGGATCTATCTGGCAATGTAAGTCCAATTTTAAACTGTGGCTTTAAACTTTTTTTAGATTTAGCTTAAAAATTCTTTACCACTTAAAGTGTATTCAAGAGGCTCAATAATTTTTGAACAAATCATATATTGGATATATTCTAATAATTGCACTTGTGTATTGAGTGGAATTAGAAAACAAGCAATTACAGTGTTCTTTTAAAATATTTTATGAGTTTGAATGTTTTGCCTGAATGTATGTAAGTGCACCACGTGTGTGCAATGCCAATGCCCACGGAGGCCAGAAGAGGGCGACGGATACCCTAGAACTGGAGTTCCAGATAGTTGTCATGTGGGTGCTGCAAGTCAAATCCAGGTCTTCTGCAAGAGTAGCAAGTACTCTTAACCAGTGAACCATCCCTCCAGCTCCAATATTTGTATTATTTACATGGGAAAATGCTTTAACAATAGTTCAGTACTAGTTGGTGTAAAGTTTGGTAGTGGTGGTGCTAGGGATGGAACCTAGGACTTCACAAATGCTAGGTAAGCACGGTGCAGATCATCTTAATGCAGGGTCTCAACCCTTGTGAAACGTCAAGTCCTGTAGTAATTATAGGCAAAGTTATAGAAAGCACTTGCTTTCTATTTACATTGCTAAATTTCAAAGTGGGCAATAAGTAATAATTTTAAGCACTATGATTTAAAATGTATTTGTTGGATCCTTTACATTTCCACACTAAAATGTCCAACTATTTCATTGTCTTTATTGGACAATTTTTTGATGGCATTCCCCTCAGTTTAGATGACTTACTATTGCATAAACTTGTCACTTAGGAGACCTGGTTAGGAAGTAGTTAGTATCCACTTATTTACTAATGTCCTAAAACTATTTTTTCTTCATGAAATCTTCCTAATATTGTATGAGATAAAACTTAAGTTACACTTTACAGATGAAAGTGCTGAATCTAAGGAAAATTGAGTTCAGAATAGTTATTGAATTTTTGAAATTTCTCAAAACATCAAAAACTTGCTTGTTCTATTGCAATTCATTGCCTTTGATTAAATATTTAAAGTTGCGTACAATGGAAGAAATTAGTAAAAAGCAAATATTAAGCAGTGTTTAAAATCCAAAATAAAAGATCAAGAAAAAAGGTGGCAGTAGTTTTTCCAAAACCAAGCTAGACCGCATACTCATCTGAATTCTCATCTTTCTGGAAATGGATGTAGAAATAAAAACATAATAATAAAATTCTCTACAGCAGTTTTTCAGAAGAGGAATAATGCTCTCTTCAAAGTTTGATTCTTAATCATTATGTAGATCAATAATGAGTACCATAATAGGCAATATGTTTTATAGCAGTTTTTAAACCCACCTGATACATATTTGAGACAGATTTCTCTAGAGTTGCTAATCATTTAGTTAAGAGCATGTTACATGTTTGTGTGTGTGTGTTTTGTGTGTGTGCATGCTCATCTGTGAATACACATATGGAGGCCAGTGGTCATGTTAGGTAACTTCCTCAATTGCTCTCCACCTTATTTATTATTATTATTATTATTATTATTATTATCGAGACAGGGTCTCTCTGTAGCTCCTATGGGTCCAGAACTACCTATGTAGACCAGACTGGCCTCAAACTCACAGAGCTCTGCCTACCTCTGTCTCTTGGGTTCTGGGATTAAAGGCATGCACCACCATGCCCACTTGTTGTTGTTTTTTGAAACAGTGTCTTCTTGTAGCTACAGCTAGCCTGGAACTTTCTCTGCAGACCAGGTTGACCTTGATCTCACAGAGATTCACCTACCTCTGCCTCCCTTTATGTATTAAAAATTGTGTGCATTCATTGTGCATAGTACTGTGCTACATACATGTGTGTTTTCATATAAGTATACAATGTACGTTGAGCATATCCCCTCCTCCCATACTCCCTTCCCTTCCTTTTATCACTATTGTCCACATTCTATTAGTCTCTTTTGTTCCCCCAGAAAGTTTTGCTTCTATTTTCATGTCATGTGTGTGTGTGTGAGAGAGAGACAGAGAGACAGAGACAGAGAGACAGAGAGAGGACGGAGGGAGAGAGAGATTTTATGTATCTCTATAAATACGGGACCCACAAATGAGTGGACACTAGGGATATTTTCCTTCTTGAGACTGTTTTAATTTTACTAATATGATTATCTTCAGTTTCATTCATTTTACTGCAAAAGTGAATAAGTGAGTAAGTACTTTAAAACAGCAGACTTAGAAAAGTTACTAATGATTCCAGTTCAGAAAACTTTAGCTTTTCTTTGATTTTTTAATGGACACTGTCAATTTTGCCATTCATTTTGTTTTCTGCCTTGCTCTAAGAAGCTAAACGTAAAAATTTTGACATACATAAGTAACTGAAAGCCACTCTTTGTTATGTATTTTTCTAATGGATTAACTCCTTGATTAATTTTCTTTCATTTCTACATTATCTTTATTTTCATATTTTTTCATGTGAAGACACCAGCTAAGATCAATCAATGAAGATACTCACAAAAAACTAACACTAAAAAGAAATCAGTTTATTCTTCCTGCATGAAAATTCAAATATAGTAGAAGAAACTAGTTCTAAATAAAAATATAATTTTCAAATGAGAAACAATTCAATATCCAAAATTAAATTACAAAACAACAAGAATGTATAAAAACATATTTTCTTTTTTAAAGAAACATATTTTTCAATGGGTAAAAATACTCTTTGATTCCTATGTGCCTGTTTTGAGTAAATGATAAAAATGGTAATATTCCAAAATAATTGAAATCAGGATATCAGAGAGATACCTGCATGTTTATTTTATTTATTTTTTGTTTTCTTGGTCTTTTTGAGACAGGGTCTTGCTGTAGCCCCAGCTGGCTTGGAAATCAACTATGTAGACCAGTCTGGCCTTGAACTCACAGACATCTATCTGCCTCTGCCTCCTGAGTACTGAGACTAAAGGTGTGAGATATCTGTATGTTATATTGCTACCAGCACTATTTCCTGTAGCCAACAGGTGGAAGAACTCAAATGTCCATGAATAGTTGAATGGATATACAAAATGCAGTATGTACACACAATGGAGTATTAGAAAGGAAAGAGATCCTGTAATATGTTACAACATGGATGACATTATTCAGGACATTATGTTAAGTTGAATAAGCCAGTCTGAAAGCAACCCAACCTGAGAACAACAATAACAAACCCCAACAATCCCTGAGCGATTTCACTTAGAGGAAGTACCTAAAGTAGAGACCTTTATAGAAACAGAAATAGAGTGGTTACCATGGGAAAGGCCAGAGAAATGTGAATTTCTCTCTAATGGATGTAAAGTTTTAGTTTTAAAAAAGGAAAAATTTGCAACGATGTGAGTATACATATTAACACTACTGAAGATTACACTTAAAGTGCATATGGCTGATATGGAAAAGTAGAACTGTGTTTTAGCCACATGATGTCGCTGTTTACCAGGGAGTGTTCTCTAGGAAGGAAAATAGCCAGGCTAGAGTCCTTTGTTACTCAGATGAGCTGAACAATAGGAGAAGCAGGAAGATTTGAACAGGGACTAGACTTCTAATTTTTTGGAAATCACGATCCTTTGATTTGACCAACTCACCAGAGGACTGGAAGTGATGCCTTCTTTGAGGAGGGGCCCAGGGGTCAGGCAGTGTCTGCTGCTCTCGGTTTTTCTCCTGGCGGTCTGGGAGACAGGGAGTGGCCAGCTCCACTACTCCATCCCGGAGGAAGCCAAGCACGGCACCTTCGTAGGCCGCATCGCGCAGGACCTGGGCCTGGAGCTGGCCGAGCTGGTGCCCCGCCTGTTCAGGGTGGTGTCCAAGGACCGCGGGAACCTTCTGGAGGTAAATCTGCAGAATGGCATTTTGTTTGTGAATTCTCGAATCGACCGGGAGGCGCTGTGCGGGAGGAGCGCGGAGTGTAGCATCCACCTGGAGGTGATCGTGGACAGGCCGCTGCAGGTTTTCCACGTGGAGGTGGAGGTGAGGGACATTAACGATAACCCGCCGGTATTTCCAATGACTGTAAAGACTATCCAGTTTCCTGAATCAAGGCTGCTTGACTCGAGGTTTCCTTTAGAGGGAGCATCTGATGCAGATATCGGAGTAAATGCTCTTCTCTCCTACAAGCTAAGCCATGATGAGTTTTTCTTTCTAGACATACAAACAAATGATGAACTAAGCCACTCATTGTTTCTTGTCCTGGGGAAATCTCTGGATAGAGAGGAAAGGGCCGAGATGAATTTATTATTATTAGCTACTGATGGGGGCAAGCCTGAGCTAACCGGTACCATTCAAATACTTATTAAGGTATTAGATGTGAATGACAACGAACCTACTTTCCCCCAATCTGTTTACAAAATACAATTGTTAGAAAACACTGAAAATGGAACCTTAGTGGTTAAATTAAATGCTTCTGATGCAGATGAAGGATCGAACAGCGAGATTGTGTATTCACTTAGTAGTGATGTGTCTTCCACTACACGGACAAAGTTCAAAATAGATCCTACCTCAGGGGAAATCAGAACTAAGGGGGAATTAGACTATGAAGAAAGGAAATCCTATGATATTCTGGTCACTGCATCTGACAAAGGAATCCCACCAATGTCAGGACATTGTAAAATTTCGATAAAACTTGTGGATATCAACGATAATGCACCAAAAGTCTCAATAACGTCTCTCTCACTTCCTGTCCAAGAGGACGCTCCACTGGGCACAGTCATCGCCCTCATCACAGTGTCAGATCGCGACTCAGGCATCAATGGGCAGGTGACTTGTACGATAACTATTCAAGTCCCCTTCAAGCTGGTGTCCACTTTCAAGAATTACTATTCGATGGTGTTGGACAGCGCCCTGGACCGCGAGACCACGTCTGACTATAAGGTGGTGGTGACTGCGAGGGACGGAGGCTCGCCTTCGCTGTGGGCCTCGGCCAGCGTGTCCGTGGAGGTGGCTGACGTGAACGACAACGCGCCTGCGTTCGCGCAGCCCGAATACACGGTGTTCGTGAAGGAGAACAACCCGCCGGGCGCCCACATCTTCACGGTGTCGGCGGTGGACGCGGACGCGCAGGAGAACGCGCTGGTGTCCTACTCGCTGGTGGAGCGGCGGGTGGGCGAGCGCGCGCTGTCGAGCTACGTGTCTGTGCACGCGGAGAGCGGCAAGGTGTATGCGCTGCAGCCTCTGGACCATGAGGAGCTGGAGCTGCTGCAGTTCCAGGTGAGCGCGCGGGATGCTGGTGTGCCTGCCCTGGGCAGCGACGTGACTCTGCAGGTGTTCGTGCTGGATGAGAACGACAATGCGCCCACACTGCTGGGGCCTCCCGCGCGCAGCTCGGTGAGCGAGCTGGTGTCTTGGTCAGTTGGTTCAGGGTTTGTGGTTACTAAGGTGCACGCGGTTGACGCGGACTCTGGTTACAATGCCTGGCTGTCCTATGAATTGCAACCAGCTGCGGGTAGCTCGCGCAGCCCTTTCCGAGTGGGTCTGTACACCGGTGAGATCAGCACGACCCGAGCCCTGGACGATGCAGATGCACCGAGCCAGCGTCTGCTGGTGCTGGTGAAGGACCATGGAGAACCAGCGCTTACCACTACCGCCACTGTGTTGGTTTCTCTGGTTGAGACCAGCCAAGCCCCAAAAGCCTCCTCAAGGGCCTTGGTAGATGCTGCCAGGCTGGAGGGGTCGCTGGTGGATGTCAACGTGTACCTGATAATCGCCATTTGCGCGGTGTCCAGCCTGTTGGTACTCACGCTGGTGTTGTACACCGCGCTGCGCTGCTCTGCAGAGCCCATGGAGGGCTCATGCGCGCCTGGGAAGCCCATGCTGTTGTGCTCCAGTGAGATCGGGAGCTGGTCCTACTCAAAGCAGAGGAAGCCGAGGGTGTGCTCTGGGGAGGGTCCACCCAAGACCGACCTCATGGCCTTCAGTCCCAGCTTATCTCATGGTCCAGACTCAGCAGAAGAAGGACAACAGCTCTCAGGGTCAGAATACTTAGGAAAGGTAGGCTTTAAAATGTTTTCTTGACAATTTGAGACTTTTGCTATTTCTGTATTGTTTATGATGCCTGTTAATTTCTTAGACGTTAAGCACTGCCTTTATTTTATATCATTGCATTATCATGCAATACTTGTGAATTAGAGACCAATTTTCTGCATGTAGAACAATTTACTTAAAATGTTCTTACTTTCACTGTTTGGCTTCTTCATCTCTAAATTTTGGTGAGTAATATGACCTTGAATAGCTGAGAAAAAAAAAACACTTCAGGAAAACTTGGTAATTTCAAATTTATTGTGTGTGGTTGCATATGCCAGTGTGAGTGGGGATCAGGGGAAAACTTTGCAAAGTTGATTCTCTCCACTTTTTCCTGAGTTGCAGGGATCCAACTCAGGTCACCTGGCTCAAGTGCTTTACCTGCTCAGTCATCTTACTTGCTTCCAAACTTGATAATTTAACATTGCCCCTAATTTTTTTTTCCTCTTAAAAATTAAAAAGTCGGGGCTGGAGAGATGGCTCAGCAATTAAGAGCACTGACTGCTCTTGCAGAGTACCCAGATTTGATTCCCAGCACCCACATGGTGGCTGGGAACCATCCTTAACTCCAGTTCCAGGGGAATTCGAAGCCCTCTTCTGATCTCGGCGGCATTGTATGACATGGGTGCACACAGGTGCACTTTACATGCAGGCAATAGCACTCATACACAGAAAATAAAAATAATAAAATAAAATATTAAAAAAATTGAAAAAATCACAGCTGGAAAAATTCAAAAAATTTAGCAAATATAATACATATTTCTAAATACAGCATTCTTTCCATTCTAAAAGAGTATGATTGTTTAGAGTAAGAATATATTATTTACTTTAGACAGTTCCTAGATTTGCTTTTGGTCAAGGATATATTTGTTTTCATCTGCTTATGAGACAATTCATAATTTTTTTCTTTTCCTTCTATTTGAGTACAATTTGGATGGATTCTTTAAAACTATGTCCTCCTAAAGTATCTACCATTGGCTTTTGCAACACATACCGGATCTTAAGAATGCTTGGTAATCTTAAATTTGTCTTTAATAAATAAAATAAGCTTGTTTGGAGAATAAATATTTTATAGTAGTAAAATCTTTTAGTTTTCAGGAAAAAGAGTTTATTGAAAAAAGAGCTCCTTCAATTTTTAGCATTTAAATAACATTGGGTTGGCCAGACATCTGGCTTTTTCTTTCTACAAGTGGAGAGTACTGTGGCCTAGTCTCTATCCTGGTGGTCCACCAGCCATCATTCCAGTGTCCATGTCATTAAGCTAATTCATTAAGCCCCCCCCCCCACTGCAAAGAGACTGACCGCTTTCCTGGCATCTCACTCTATTCCTGATTATATTCCCTACCACAATGAACTCAGTTTCACTGGCTCACACCCCAGTTCACAAGGAACTTGGACTCT